AGAGAGAGAGAGAGAGAGAGAGAGAGAGCTTTCTCGCCCACCTGAGTGTGCGCCATAGCTTCTCGCATCATGTTAGTGCTCTCGCCCGAAGCGTCGTCGGCGTCGTCCAAGTACTCCGCGTACTTGTCCATGAGAGACGCAACCTGCGAAAAACGTTTCGCATAAATCACTTCGGTCAGCCATATTCTAGGCAATGAATGAACAAGCACACAACAAAAACAAACACGAAAACGCCAAAGTGTTCGCGGCGAACCTTCGCCACCTGCACCCGTTGGAATCCTCTACTTCTGACCAGTTGCCAACCAACCCATTGTTCCAGCAGGAAACAAAACCTCCGACGCGAGGGCTACAGAAAATATCCCGTCAAGAATAAAAAAACTCGATACAAGTCCCGCCAAAGAAAGGAAAACCATGCAATACGCGAGGTGGCGTCACTGAAAGCAGAAATACTGCAACACGATTAAAAAAAACAACGTCATTTTTGTAACAGGGGCCACAGCACAACCCCACCAGGCGTGCCACATGCACCCCAACGCACGTGGGACATATAGATCGCATACCTGTGCGCGACCGTTGTAGGCGAACATGAGGGCGCTGTGACCATCGCTGTTCTGCTTGTCAAGCGCCGCCCCCGCCTTGACCAGGCTGGTGGCCGCCTCCAGGTGCCCGTTCGACGCCGCCGCCATCAGAGCGTTTGTCCCGTCCTTTTTTGTTTTTTGGTTCCGACGAGATACAACGATACAGCGCGTCATTCGAAGAGGCTCATATTGGCCCTTCTCTGGCAGGCGGGTGCTCGGAGTATGCCGGACGTGTCTTGCTCGCGACAGCGTCCACGAAACGCATGTCGCGTCACACAACACTCCCACGCGCGAAAGGAGAAAATTTGAAAATAATGTCGGGGGAGGGTTGGTGCAGTTGGCACCGAGCTCTTCGTAAGGTTGATTTTAGTAGGCAGCGCAACGTCGCGTTCTCTTCTTCAAATCCGGCTCACGCTACAGTGGTTTAGGCAGCGAACCCCACGTTGTTTCTTCTTACAAAATCAACCGAAGCCAACGAGGACCCTCTCCTTGCCCGAAGATAACGGTTCCTGGAACACGGCGAGTCTCCTTCTCTGCACAGGCCTACCCGCGCGTGCATCTCGCCCCTCCCGCAGCTTGGACCACAAACCCATAACACCTACCCGCTTACACGCAGTGCCCATCACGGCTGTACCAAAAAGAGGAATGGTGTTCCGGTGAGCATTTTCCTTTGCGTGCGTTCCGCGAGGATGGGTAACGTCTGGACGAAGGAAGTGGTTTGTGACATGCTCTTTGAAGGTTGGGTGCACCTACAAATGTTGCGCAGGCTTGTCATGCGGGAGATGAGACCAAGACCGAAGGGAGGGCAGACAATGCGAGGAGCGACTGCTGCGCCACCAACAACTCTCAACAAAACAAGTACACCAATCACATTATTTTGCCCACCTTGTCTACTGCGTCGAGGTTGCACTTGGCCCCAATGAGCATGTCCACGATATCAACGTGCCCCTGTGCATAGCGAGCGGCAACAACAGTAACGGGGTTAAGAAATATGCGCTGCAAGTAGTTCGACCCGTCAAAAGATGGAAATAACTCTAACCTACCATCAGGACGCGCCGCAACTCAACATTCTGGGAGGGAGTTGGTCGCTTCCAGCTCAACAGGATCGAAACGAAAGGACGTGAGCACAACAGGTGCGGTCGACAATCGTTGTCTGAAACCTTGCCAGTCTCGAGTTTGGGCAATATCTATGCATACCACACAGAGGAAATAAGATTGGAGCCTCCAGCGAAACGAGAGGTTTCTCCAATGGGGGCACCGTGGAATAGACATCCCGGGCCCATCAGGGGGATCGTTACGCCACAACACCAAAAACGAGAAACCATGACGTCACAACAAGGTGACGTAAAACAATCAACGACCCCTATGTTGCTTGTAGGCACGCCAAGGCCCTAGAAGCCAAGCGGCATCGCAGGCTTTCGTGTCGCTCGCCCGGATAACGCCGCACAAAAAAATAACAGGCAACAATCACGTACTGCAAAAGACTTCCAACAATAGTGTTGTCTCAAAACGGGCATCGTAGTCTTCCTATCACTGCATGCATGCAATAAAAAAAAAAAGGCGAATTCGCTACGCTACCATATACTAACCTTCATGGCCGCGGCGATGAGCGGTGTAACTCCCTCGTCGCTGGCCGCGTCCTTGTCCACGCCGGCCGAAGCTGGCGCCTCGAGCAGGGCCTTCACCACCTTGGGCATCTTGGCGTGCGACGCGTGGACCAAGACCGACGCGCCGCCGGCGTCGCGGTAGGAGGCGGTCGCCCCCTTCGACACCAGCAGCTCGGCGAACTCCTGCAATGATCCATCGATTGGTTGACGGACAAGTATGTTGTTATTGGTCTTGGTTTTCCTTGAGCGTGAAAAGAGATCGATGTGTTACGGATCTGATGAAGGTGTCAACACTCGATGGAGAAATCCACAGCAACGAAAATGAACGACAATGCGTGTAGGTACCGCCCCCGCCCCTCCCAATTCACTGCCTACGCCCCCCCCTCCCGAACTCGCTCTCTCGGTCGTGCTTTCCTGTCATCAACGCAAAAAGCCCGAAAACAAAAATCAAGAACACCGCAACAAGGCACTTTCACGTCTATCTTCGGCTTTGGCGTCAGCAGTGCAGAAGTTGCCAACGTCCAGGTTCATGTTTCATCTCGTCCTTGGATATGGATGTACGGGTATGGGCATGTGAAAACGAATATGGATGTACGGATATTGATTGAGCCGCATGGATTTGGATACCTCGTTGCCGAGAGCGACGCTGTCGAAGAGGAGATTGTGCTCCTTGCCGGCGTCATCCGTGTAGACATCGTTAGGGTCCGCCCCGCTCTCCACCAGGAAAGACGCCACCTCCTCGAAATTGCCCTGTGATCATGTAAGTGTTCGTCATGTATTTAACTTCGTGATTTACACGACATTTTTGAGTGAGTAGACTGTGTAACGACAACTGTTCTCTGCGCCCCTATGTTTCGGATGGTTCGCCATCACCGCTGCGTCAAGCGTTGCTTGCGTGCCCTTCCGGGTGCCCTTGGGGGGTGACACGTATATGTGTGCGCGACTATGATGAGGTTGGTCTCGCCAAACGTCAGTGCGCGAGAGAGTGGCTGCCGGAGACGTCACATGCAGCGACGGGCCGCTACCACACCACCAATACCACATGAGCGATGACAAAAAAACAAAACCACCGAAACACCAAGACCAGCACCAGCACCAGCACCAGCACCAGCACCAGCACCAATGGCACGGCAACAACAACCAATCACGACAACAGCGGCGCCAACAGCAACACCAGCAGGGGCAGGGGCACCACCACCAACTGGCAACAACAACAACAACAACAACAACAACAACAACAACAACAACAACAACAACAACAACAACAACAGCTCCAACACCAAGCAAAAACCCGCAAGAGAGCGCACCCCCCCCGCCCCCCCCGTTCACGAACTCGCCTTGACGGCGTTGAGGAGGGGGGTGAACCCCTCCTCGTCCTTCGCCCTAACGTCCGCCCCCTTCTCCACCAGCAGTTTCACCACCGCCTCGTGTCCCCCCTGTGCCGCCACCATCAGCGCGGTCACATCGTCCCTGTGGGCGTCGTCTCCCGTGGGCTCCTCGCCACCGTCCGCGATCGTCTGGGCGAGCTGCATGACGATGGCGATTACGGGAAGCACGCACACGTGTAGGAGGATAGGCGTGAGACGCAAGGAAAAATAGTCTCGAAAAACGAGGCAAAGTGGATTGGGTAGAAGAGCAAGCGTGACAAAAGCAGACGAACGGTCTACTTAGGCCGGGCTGGCTGGACGACGATGCGGTAAAGCGGACTTGGGTACATGGGCAAGCGCAACTAGCTTAAACGAATTTCCGTCCAGGTCAGCAGACTGGAACAATCACATCACGTCCTTGATTCGAAAGGAACTCGGCTGCTCTGAAGACAACAACAAACCAAAAGACACAACAGCAGCAGCAACAGCAACAACTGAACAACAACTAAGGCAAAGCGACGGGCAGGCCGAACGAACCTGCTCAAGGAACTCGGGCTTCGCCTCTAGCTTGGCGTTAACGTCGGCCCCGGCGGCGATCAAGACCTCGGCGGCCTCCGTGTGCCCCGCGCCGGCGGCGAACATGAGGGAGGTGCCCCCAGAGTTAGCCATGGCGTTCACGTCGTTGCCCTTGGCGATGAGAACCTTGCAGGCCTCGGCCCGTCCCTGCACGGGGGTAGAAACAGCGCAGATGGGACCACGGCGGGGGACCCGCGCCCGGGGGGGGGGGGGG